AAACGTCTATTCATATCTTAATTCAGTACAACAAAACATAGACAAAACCATTACAATAGAAATAATCTCAATGGGGTGATGTTTTAAGTAACACAGTTCACTTAGAAAGTGTAAACAGTCTGACAGAGTTTAAAGAAAATATTTATTGGCAAGTAAAAACATTCTATCACTAGGTGAAGACACACTCACAAGAAAGCAATACACCAGTGTTTCATGAAAATATTGTTGTTTATCTTGTGAATAAGCATCTGATAAGAATTCAAAATGTTAACTGATCTACTTCAGAGGTGTTGGAACCCGGGATGCCGGGGTACTGTAGCACCCCCACTTTTGCATATTTCACTTTTAAAGCAACTATAAACTGTATTATTATATTAATTTTCTGAGGGGCATGCCTCCAGACACCCCTTGATTGAGCTACCTTTGGCAGTATGGGAAATGCTTTTAGCAGCTTCTTATACTTTCAATCTCTCATTGTAAAATCTGGCATATCTAACCAAGCACCCCCACTTTGCAACTATTTTAGCCAGTGTTCTGTGTTGTATCTTAACAAATGAAAATTTTGTTAAACATTTCCTACACCAAAACAAAAAGCATAAAAAAGAAAGAGAGATTTTGTTTTTGTATTTATAGAGCGACTGTGATTTTTAGGCATTAAACGTTACAAAATAAATAGCTTTAAAAAAATAAAAAAATCTGTTTACATCAATCTCAGGTTTCTTGTATATCAACATTACTGTACGGAACACTAGAGGGCGCTTGATAATCTTTCTATGTAATCCGACGATGATAACCGTAAATGGGTGTGAGCCGAGTTGACAACAAACATAGCCGTCAGTGACAGCGCCCCCAGTAGATCAGCATTAAGCTTGACAGCTAAAATTGAAGGTCCCATTCCTGCAGTTTTTACAGATACTCCATTGTGCAACTTCGTGTTTAGTAAAAAATAAAACCACATATAACATTTACGTTGCTCTGCATGCCTCCTTATCGCTAATTATGGAAACAAAAACGCATTCGTGAGATAAAAGGCACAGGATTATTCGTATACAATTAGATAAATTATTTTTGCTTTACTGTGCTCATAATTTTTGGTATAAAACAGCTACTTTTCGATAGTTTACCAAACGATTTAACTTTCGTCTATTTTCTATTTAAAAAGAGTCCCATGGCATCAAATTTTTCAAGATAGTTATTCATATGTTAGGTGTACCCTACAAAGAGACGGAATGAAGGCCCTATAAACTGGTTAAGCAGCAAGCTTGAACCATACACACACACACACACACACACATACATATATAC